TTTTTAGGCTAAGTAGCGGGAGGACTCAGTCTCCTTTGCTCCTCTCCTGATCGCACCAAAACTTATACACGAATTAGCAAATGTATTAGAATGCACTCTAAAGAAATAGAGTTTCTACGAAACCTAACAACGTTCTTCACGAAGATACAAACCCTAAACATCTTTTGAGTGTCGCCACAAATTCATAAAAGTTTCGTGCAAAAAAGGGCAAAACCTTCTTCACTCCACAGATCTTTCAAATGATTTTGTGCTTTCCATAATAGAAATTTTTGTTAGAGTGTATCAGATTTATATGGGATCAGTTTCTGTTTTTTTTTTGAAACAGAATCAATCCCATCTCTGTTGCATGTCTCCTACTTTAAAAGCATAAAATGGATCTTCTGGATTGTCCCAATCATAAATGCGACATGTCCCACCATAGTCTTTATCTGGTAATGGTACACCTAATGATGGATCAATAGTTTTTAATAATTGTCTTGCATCATCGACTGTCTAAATTTTTATTGAGCTCATTGAAATTGAGTTTGTATATATATAGATGTATAGTGTGCATATATCTACGTACTTGAAATAAAATATAGATAAGCACAATTTCATAGAGTAGGCTGAAACAAAGTACAAAACGCCAAAGAGCTGAAAAAAGAAAGCAACGAAATTCAATGAGTAAATTTCTTTTGAAGAAGAAATGAATTTACCAGGATGAGGTCGAACAAAAACACCATCAGGTGTTTGTGTCATACCAAAGACAAGAAGAAAACCAGCACATGCTAGAAGACCTCTGAAAATAAAAAACACAGACTTTTTATTGAATCTCAAGAAAAATATTTTCCTACTATTCTTTACAAATACCAGATAGATACCTTAACATCTATTGATTTCTTTTCTTTTTTTGATGCATAGTGTTTTGGATTCATGCAATAACTGTGCATTGAACTTTTCTAATGTAGGACGTACATTTTCCTGAGATGTCCAGTGCGGTAGGTTTTCAGTGGTGATGGATATCTTGAAGATTCTTAAAGGTAAATTTATCGTACTCAAATTTAGTTTCAAATACAATCGATATGGCTGTGTATGAACATGCTCAGTTCAACAGAGGAAAAATGTAAGCCGTTAATGCCGGTAGATTTCAAAAATAACGATAATCAATTATACATAGTACTCAAAATAAGAGTTCAAGAGTAAAAAAAGAATACCTTGAAAATGATATTCACTAACGAACAAATGTTAATGCAACGTTAACATTATGGTGTATTTGATTATTTGATATATCTTTAAGTGCTCTCCTATTGCAGTGGGAAAAAATTGTTGCATCACATACAATGAAACGTTTGGCATTGTGAGTTAAAAACATTAGACATACTTGGTTCAACTTAAAGCTTTTACTGCTATACTAATAGATTAAAAATATGAGCTTGCACAGCGTGCAGTGACTTAAATATTCGAATTTTAAATTATTTTTGATGCATGCAATACATCCACAATTCAGAATTTCTGTAGGATTGTTTTTTGTTCATAGTTGACTAGAGCTTGTCGAGCTCCATACGAAATGCCCTGATATTTAAAAATGATGATATCTCGGGCTTTGTCTAGCAATTTTTTTCTCGTATAGTCAAAAGATACTTTTTCTTATGTAATTCAGCAAGCTCTACTCAGCTATGAACAAAAAAAATGCTTACTGAAATTCTGAATTATAGGTATATTACATGCACCGTATATACCTTAAAATTTGAATATCTAAGTCAACGCACGCTATTGGAAGCTCATATTTTGACTTTATTAGTTTAGTAGTGAAAGCTTTAATTTTGCTTGAATAGTTCTAATGCTTTTAACTTCCAATATAAAACTTTCTATTTATATATATAAAAATTGATCAAACCTTTAGTTCAATTACTTGATTGCATCTTTGATAAAAGAAAATTCAAACTTCTTTGTATTATCTCATCATTGCAATTTATATGAAATACGTAATGTTATAAGTAATATTTTTTTCGTTCGTATAAATCAAAATCATATTCAAAACGAACTCTATTTACCGTTTCGTATTATAAGACGAATCTTCCGATGGTTGTTCCACAAGAGCAATATAGAATAAATATGACATAGCTATAACCAGACATGTTATTGTATGTGCACGCCAAAAAAAACTCATTGTTCCATCATCAAAAGGTTTCGAACGTCTTTTATCACTTTCCCAATCATATGCTGTTGGTGTTGCAATTGATGTTAATGTTACCAAGTTTTCATTATCTTTAATATGTTTTTCAGATGGTGATGAATTTCTTCGTTGAATAATTCGATTTTCATCACTAGTATCAATCATCATAATAATTAAACGTCAAACAAGTTTATAGAAATCTAAAAAAACGAATATTTCAAAGTTTATTTAAAAAAAAGAGTATTGCAGTAAATAAAATATTATGTGAGAACGAAAAAATGTTTGTCATTCAGTGATCATGGGAAAAATTCAAGCAAAATCACCATGTTTATAAAAGGTAATGATTATTTATAAATGGAATAGTTTACTTAAAATATTGAGCAACCATTCTTATAAGACGATATTATTGGAGAGTGAATATATTTTTGAAAGTGTTCGTGTATTAATTTTTACAACTTGATAATTTGCTTTTTCTAAAGGTTGAAGAAAACGAAGAAGAAGAAGATCATCACCAGGAGAAAATCCAATAGCAACAATATTTATTTGTGGCTGTTTAAAATTATAATAATCCAGTGTTACATTAGCACGTGGTATACTACATATCATTGTACCAGAAAATATATCGTCATTACCAATTGTTACTAAACAATCAAGTGAATATATTAAGTTAAGATAATTAATTAATGATTGAAAAGATTCTTGAATTGCTTTCTTATATTCATCATATACTTCCTGTGTAATTGATGATTCTATAGCTCGTATAAATAATGATTGACCATAAGGAATATATTGCGAATGAGATAAATTTCATTCAATAATAGATGAAAGAGTTTGATGAGAATAATAAGATGAAAGATTTGATAAATATGATGGAATATCACGTGTAGGAGAATAACAAAGAAAATCGTGAAATGTTGTACTACAAGCACTACGTAGTTGGATTTAATACAGATGCTATTGGTTGAGCAAGAAATAGATCACTATTTAAGTTGATTAATGCTGTCAGAGGTAATATACCAGCAAGTGTTTGAAGTAATACAATGCTATCTTGTAATTGACCTAAACTAAATCATATGTAAAACAAATAATTAATTCTAACATCGCATGATTTAAAAATAAGAAAATAGATAATTTTGTTAATTTAGATAATGTGTATTGTTTCTTTTTTCAAATATATGTTACAAACGAGATAGCGATAGTGAGAACTAATATGTACATATAAGCGCGAGTGTCAACATTATCAAACGTACTTGAATTTCAAATGATGCGTTGATGATATGTTTTATTAATAGACAAAAATACTCTTGGAACGAATTCTTATAATAATGCCTAGCACCTTATCATCAACTGCAGTGGTTTAGAAAATGAAACTAGTTTATTCAAAGATATCAAGGACTTTTTTACGAATCTCGAGATCATAAAATCTACTATTTTCTGTGTAGTTTAACATCTGATCATTAAGATACAAGATAAATTTTGTCATAGAAAAACTGCTGTTTGTAAGTTTTTATTAATTAAAAATAGAGTTTTTTTGTTTTTGTATATATTAAACTTACTAAGATAGCCCACTCTAAGTGATCGATTATAAGTATCATCATTCTCTTTAATTCTTGCATCAATTCTATGGGATAATTCGACATCTTCACTATATCTTGTCACACGACCACATGAATCTTGATCATAAGTAACTGGAATAATATCTTGATTTGGCTATGTACTAAGTGATGGTTTAAGTGCACAAACATTTCTTACACTGATTGCTGATAGAAGTAATGATCCTTGAGTTTCTGTACCTAATGAAAATGTAAAAAGATTTCATTTAATACCAGCTGTCAAACCACTCGATGAACCACTAGCATCTTCATATATATCATCTGGATGAAAACATTGACCTTCTAGTGCTGAAAAAAACTGATGGAATATGTTCCGATAATGCATATGCCCATTCAAATAAATTAGTTTAATTAAGTATACCACAACCTAAACAATAAAATTCATTTATTTAAATTAAATTAATTTCCTGTGTCTTCTCATGTGCGAACATAAAATCAAAATAAAACCGTTTAACTCAATTCCAATGATTTTTTTCATTTAATTAAAGAAATAATCCTAATTTTGAGATCTTCGTTTTAAAATTTACTCATAAGAATTTTCAGAAAACTTATACATAGAGTCAGTGACGTAAGTCAGGAATTTGTTATTTGTGAGAAATTTACTTGTCAAACTATTTCGAGGGATAGACGACCATAAGCTACACATGCCCAGGATTACTCTACCTTACTGTGCTCTGCAGGGTAGGGTAAATATTAGAAAATTTTTCTCAGTCAAGGTACAGAGTACAAAAAAAGCTTATCCTGCACATTTTTACTATGATCGACCGTCAGTATTTTCAAAAACTCTGTGGACAATTGTTCAATGGCTCGCGATTACATATGCCACCGTATTCAGTTTTACTTTGTATTAGCTGCAATTTATAGAGTTCACTAGACATCATTGTTACTCTACATGGTATAAGCTTTATTTATTTGAACTTGGGCATATTGTCTAATTGTAACATGGAATCAAACATCGAATGCGTGTGCGTGTTGTCATTCGGATCTTTTGTATATCAGCACCTCCCCCACCCAGCTTTTATGATTTTAGAATCTACCCAAGTCGAAATGCCACGGTAAGAATTCTTCAAATAATGTATAACATTAATTTTTGGTGGAGCTCTAGGGCCCATCTCAAATCGAAATTCAAAGGTCACAAACACTCAAATAATATAACTAATTATTACTCTGCATTCATTTTAGCTTCAACTCAAATCGAAAGGCGAAGTGAGAATTGCTGAAATGATAAAACTAATCATCCCTCTATATCGTTTTATGTTCATCTCGAATGGAGACGAAAAGGCAATAATTCTGCAAGTGATGAAACTAATGATTCCTCTGTATCGTTGAAGGTTCAACTCAAATCGAAATGCGAAGGTGAGAATTGATGAAATGACAAAACTAATCATCCGTCTGGTTTGCTTTAGGCTCTTCTCAAATGAAAATGCAACGATAAAAATTGTTGAAGAAATGAAATTAATGATTGTTTAGTTTTGTTGTAGGTTCTTCTGAAATTAAAACACCAAAAAGAAAAAGGTAGAAACATCAGACACAAGAAAATTAGTTGCTTTTATTGTTTGTTTTTCTTGGTGGACGTCCGGCAGAAATACAATGATACGAACGTGGAAACGTTTGGTTCAAAACTGGATTATAAGTTGTGCTTGTGAGTAGAACTTTCTTATTTGCATAGCTACCTCTCATATGCGAATATAAAGAAAATAAATTATAAATAAATTAAAATTTTTAAAATTGCGTTTGATTTAAATTTGATACTTTTATCAATTTTTTGTAAAGCGATTAAAATTTATATTTAGCTTTTAAAAGTTCAATTACTGCGAACGAATATTGAAAGTAAATTGTTTTAAATAGTTTTATAAAAGTTTATTCTTTTTACTAAGCATGTTGTAATTTGTGCAGGTCGTTAGTTTTTGATCAGAGAAATTTTCTAAACTTAGTACCATTGTTGTAATGTATGGAGAACATTAGATTTTAGTCAAAATAAAATTTTTCTTTGAATCTAGCTCCGAAGAATTTTAACGAAAGTCAACAATAGAATGTACTAGCTGGTTTTTACTTTTGTTATTGATAAACTAATACTCATAGTGCACGAGCAAGGGTCGTTGATTTGGGCTGAACTAAGAACGATTTCAGTTAAAGATAAAACTAGTTTTTAAGGAGATTGTATCATAACTTGTTGTGATAATTTGATATTTGTTACGACTCTGATGTAGGCGAATAGAACTGTGTTCGTCAAGAGAAGACGCTCATTAACATCTATATTTCTGAGCCGTCTTTTGGAAAAGCATTTTTTGTATTTATGATTTTTGTCTAGAAATGCTTTTGCACCCTAATCAGTGATCTCCATTCAATATTTGATTCCAATTTACTATCATAATTGTATGGCCTGTTCAAAATAAAAAACAGTTGATGGTATTCATAGCAGCAATTATGTCCGACGAAGTCTATAAATTGTAGTCAATTAAGAATAAAACAAGCAATTCTGTAGTTTATCGCACTCTACAAATTACAGATCGTTAAATTGAAATAATGAAACTCAATTTTTAGGGAACTCTATAAAATTTCAGTAAGTTTAAATATATAACTGAAATTTTAACTTATTTTAAAATTGATACTCGTAAACTTTTTTGCAATTTGAAAACCGAAAATTTTGGACCTAAGATTATTTTAATTTTGAATAAATTAAATTTAGAAACAACTAAAATTGAACTTAACAGATTTTTAATTTCGATTTTATGTTCGCAAATGAGAGGACACGATTTGCACTGTTTAAGAAAGAAATTATTTGATGATGTTTGCGCATGTTATATCTGGAATGAATGAGTACTATTTTCGTTGGATTTCCCTTTCTCTCCCATATGGAATGAGACTACTTTGTTTTGGAAACAAAAATCGTTAATTGCTGTTCAAGATTAGAATTCTAGAAACGCTTTGAAGGTGTGAGATAGCAAGACAATTAAAAAGATCGATTCGTTTCCAGCAGTATGATAGTTGTAGAGCGCATAGAATTTATTTCCTATGAGGCATCTATAGTTGAGAGTTAAGAAAGTTTTTCATGATGAATCAGTCGAATGGGATTGCGTATGGGCGGCGTTGCATCATAAGTGATAAAAATCATGAATAATCTCCCCAGTGACAAATATTTGCTTCAAAGAAAGGGGAAAGAACGCGTTCCGTAATATTAAAAGCCTTTTTGTTAAGAAAAGACGACGTTCCAACAAAAGTGGAAAGCATTCCAAAATGGAACCATTAAGAACACATTCCATGTTTTTTGGAATGCGTTCTTAACTGTCCCAGCTTTTTGGAACGCATTCTTGGTCGTTATTGCCTGAATTTAGATTCACTATAAGAGTTCTCGAAGAGAAGTTCAGACATAATTTTTTGAAAGATCGATTCTGATGCAACTCGACGAGCTCTATCCAATGACGTGCTCTAATTTTTCGTAGCTCAAACTGTTATTAAAAACCAAATTTTTTAGAATTAGGATTGTCAGTTGTAAAGTATGACTAATTGAAGGTTCCACCATTTTTGGCACCAGTTTCAGGGTATCGTACTGCAAAGCTGTAATTTTTGAATCAAAAGTGACGTTAAATTCAGATGAAAGCGTTCATCAGTCAAAAGAATCCATTCTACAGATGTTTCTCAAGAGAATGTTAAAAAAAGCGGTCTCATTTCGAGGGAATCCTACCTTGACTGTTTCGAAATAGAATGAGTAGAGACACGTTCTATTGGCTCATGGAACGGTTCAAAACGCTTTCTATCCAGACAGAGGACGATTTTTGAACTGAGAAGAAAGCATTCTGTACTAGTGTGGAATAGTAAAGAATGGGTTTCTTTAGACTCAGAACTTTTCTTTTTGTTTGTGAGAACGTTCTCTAAGCTGTAGAACACATTCTTCATGTAAAAGACAAATCTCTACATTTTTATGAATGCGTTCTCTTCCGCTATTTTTAGAAATATTTTTCACTGGGTCATTAAATTTCCACCGAATCTCAATCTAGTCAGATCTATAATGATGGGTTCTGCGTTTTGTTTGGTGGCTAAACTCTTCAAAAAGTCTTTCCAAACTTCTTTCTCTCTGGAGTAGTTAGATACATAGGTAGCTAGTTAGATAGGTCGGTAGTTAGATAGATAGCGAGCTAGAGAGATTGATAAATAGGCTGGAAGATAGTTTGATAAGAGGTTAGCAGGTATGTAGGTAAGCAGAAAGATGAATAATTACCTATTTGCCTCCACTTGAGGTTGCTTAAATGATTTCCTACCTGTCTGAGTCTGGACTAATACTGGCTTATCTATATCACAAAAGGGTCTAAAAAGGTTAGCTGAAAATAGTAAAAATTTCCAGATGTTTTCGAACGGCAGTCGTTGTTCAGGTTAACAGGTGAGCAACATATGTAGGAAGTAGATTTGAAAATATTAAGAAGCATTGGTTGTTGTTGGAGTGTTTATCACAATTTCAAAGTGCGAAAGATAAATACGGCCAAATAGTAGATGTGAAGAAGCTCAAAAATTTTAAACATTTTCGGATGGCAATCACGGTTCCCTACTGTTGATTAGTAACGTTTAGGAAAGCTGCATGGGAAAACGCTAAAAAGATCCGAACGTTTTGGGATGACAATCACGATTCCCGCTTGTCAGTCACTAACGTTTAGAAAGAGTCGATAGGAAAACGACTAAGATTTTCTACCCATTGAATCCCTGAAATTTTTGTTAGCCTGAAAAAGTGATATTTTTCACGCCATATATTTCTAATCCTTACTAACTTTCAATCGGGTGCCTCGATTAGCAACCCAACAAGGTCGAAAAGTTGTTTGTATTTAAACTCGTTTTTCCGTTATTTTTTGTCTGCTTGGGTTACGACTTTTTTCTAGCTATAAACAACTTCAGAGTGTTACTCTATCCAAATACCAATCATTGCTTAGAACGACTTCAAATTAATCCACAAAAACGTAGCGTAAAAATAAATTTAACTAAAAAAAATTTGCAGCGACATCTATCTATATATACATCAAAATTTATCTTTCCTACATGAAAAATAAATATTATATCTATACTAGCCAATTCTTGTAGATGAAGAGTACTTTTATTTGATAAAAATTTTGTCTTCTATATTGTTTACATTAACATATCTATTAAAACGCATTAAAACCAGTTAAACATTAAAAGGTAGAGAAAATCGTGATCAAACACAAAATGCCTTAAAATGAGTTTTGGAATGTAAAATTTTTCCATTTAAGCGTGTTTGGCTTTATGGACTCGGTAAAATCAGTAGAAATTAGCAGAAAACGTAGTAAAAATGGGCATATTAAGGAAAAATTTATGCATTAT